GTTATCACCACTACCATCATCGTTATCACCACTACCATCATAGTTATCACCACTACCATCATCGCACCATCTAAAACAATTTAGTTCACCTTTTTACTTTTCTCTTCGATGGTGTTTGTTTTGTAGAGCTCTAACCTAACTTATAATCCTAACCGATCTTTTTTCAAATCTTTAGAAAGGTGATCAAGAAATGAATCTGAATGACTATGTTGGAATTGTCAAGGTATGTGTGTGACAGAGTGGATTTCGCGTGACTATTAAATATCGCATCACGCGGCACGGTCACGGTACGGAATTATAATAACCTATGAACCAATCACACCTCGAATGATTAAGTACTGATCATGCAATCAGAATGCCAGGACATGGCACGGTATGTCACGTCAGAGTACCGTGATGTTTTGTTCAGTTGTACAAAATTGCTTTTATTAAGAGAACATGAATAAGAGAGGGAAACTTCTTAATAACGCGCGCGCAATGTAAATTCATGGTTGGGCTCTCGGTTGGGCTATTTTTAGTAACCGGTCGATGCAGTTTAAATTTCGCCTTACCCTACTCCCGTGCGTCATCAACTTGCGCGCGTGCGCCACAGGCTAACCACTCTAATAAATGAAAGAAATACTAAATGGTGTCTTGTCTTTGTCTTTTTATGCGCGCGCGCTATCGATTTTTTGTYATCTCACCTACCCCCCTTGGTAACAGTTTTGTTTTTCTACTATACAATATACTAACAAGGTAGGCAACTTCACGGGCTTCCTGTGGAAAATTCAAACTTTCACGAGAGAAAGCTACGAATTTATCCAGATATTTTGACTTCGAAAACAAAAAAAGTATACAGAACGTCGTACTTACATCTAATCTTCAATAATTTAAAGGATTTTTGATAATAAATTCTYTATAAGGAGGGGTTTTTTGGGCTTTTTTAGCGAAAACTTATGTGTCGTCAGTTATGCTTGCATCCGAGCGGGCCTGAACACGAGAAAAGGGATCCACTATATTGTATAGTAGAAAAACAAAACTGTTACCAAGGGGGTAGGTGAGATGACAAAAAATCGATAGCGCGCGCGCATAAAAAGACAAAGACAAGACACCATTTAGTATTTCTTTCATTTATTAGAGTGGTTAGCCTGTGATTAGAAGTTTCCCTCTCTTATTTATGCTATCTTGCTTTTATCTTTAATGTTTGCTTTTTTTTAGCTGAGCTGGAGAACTTGCCTTTTATTTCATTCCAATGTATTCTTTTGTACCCCAATCACTAGACTGTTGCTATTTCCAGCTTTCGTTAATCTCTTGTTCGTTCGCATGTGTAGGACTGTATTGCGATGGGAAAGAATGTCTGTATAGCAAGAAAGTAAGTTGCTCTACTTATATAATATGCGCTTCATTATCTCTTCTCAGATGATGAGAACAATCAGTCAATCCCTGATATCGTGTGAAAAAAAGAGACCTTTACTGAGCACGACGTTCTTGCAATAGTACCTCAAACTGCAGTTAAATGTTAGGCGTTTTCCGTCAAACGTTCGACAGGCCTAAGGTCCTGCGGGAAAGCTCTGCCGGATTGCAAATTTAAATTCCCAATATATTTTAAAATCAGCAGCATATTAGGAGATCTTGTGAAAACTTTGTAAAGCAAAACAATGTGTTCTTATATTTTTTATATAGTTTTGAGCTGCTGGACAAAAATTCCATTGCTAAAGGTGGTTATATAGGTAAGAAGAAGAACAAGAATCATTTGTTACGTTTCTGTTTCCTTGAGGAAGAGTGAGTGCGATTAATAATACTATATGGTCATTGACTTTGGTAAAAAGGATGAATAGGACTTAGAATGCTTCTTTATCTGCAATGGCAACTTCTCTTTGTCTTTAATTAACACTCAAATTAACATTTTTATGTTGAAAGAGAAAAAACATCATATGCTCTCTTGTAGCTATCAGTTTATCACAACACAGTATGACACAAAAGTTATTATGCTTGAACCAAAATAGCTTATCATTATACTGATGTTGCCTTTGCATGTTGTAGATGTTTGGCCAGTGAACGCTTCATTAATTAGAGAAGGTAAGATTTGTTCCCTAACTACGCCATTTTGAAAAGTCTATAACACAGGTAACCCATCAAAGAAAATAACCCCATTTGGAGGCGAAGAAATGGTGCATGTTTACTTGGATCTTGTTTATTGACATCATATCGATTCTTGAATACGTCTCTTTTCGTGGTTGTCTTTTGTCGTACTTTGCGATCTTGTGTTGTGACGTCATTTAAAGGTAGTGAGCACGTGTTCCACACGTGTTAAAGAACAGTCAAAGAACACGTGTAGCACACTCCGCGTAATAGAAAAAGAAGCTGCATTGACTCGTTAAACTAACGTTTGTATGATTTCATCCATCCATTTTTTCAGGTCTATTGRGTCCTTTTGACTTCACATTTCTGTTGATTCTTCAACTGAGTTGTGTTCTTCACATGGTACCATTCTGGGAGAGCAGGACGACGCTACGCATCTTGACAGTCGTTGGAGGTTAGTGATGGTTTGAAAAAAAAAACAGCTACAACAAAATCAACAGCGACAAACACCAACAGTAACAACAACAACCCCAGCAGCAGCAACAGCATCAGCAGCTCTGTGCTGCAGTAACAACAGCAACATCAGCAGTAACAACTGCAACAGCACCAAAAGCAACAGCAACAATAACAACAGCATCATCATCATCATCATCAGCAACAACAACAATAACAGCAGGAACAACGGCAGCAATAACAGTAAGAACAACAACAACAACGACAACAACAGCAGCAGCAGCAGCAAAATATATAACAACTAATTTTCCCCCCTTAAATGTTTTAAAACCAGTTTTGCAACTAAAGTGTATTGATTATTACAGAAAACAGGGCAGAGGAGGAATGCACCTTGATAAAGCTTTTAAAAGAGTTGCGTATCCCTGCAGAAGTTAGGGTAAGAGATGGCTAATAGTTATGATAAAATAATAAAATGAAACACCACACACTTCGCGAGGTACTCTTACTTCCATTCTGACCCCATCCATCTCACCCGACCCTTTAATTTTTTAAAAACTAAAAGCTCAAAAGGTAAAGGTAATTCTACCTACTCCGACGTCGCAAGGAAAGGTTGCCCGATTCTCCAGAGTGACCAGGGACTCATGTTTGAATCGCTCGAAGGTGCGCTTTTCACTAAAGAGATTTTATCGTTGATAGATGGTTCACGCATTGAATGAAGATCCTACCAGGGCTAAAAACGCCGATGGCTATCTGGTAAGTTTTCGAAAGGTAATTATAAAAAGAATAAAATGAAAGAAAGAAGGGAGAAAAGAATGAATAAACGAAACTCGAAGACAGATTTGAAAAAAAAAAAGAGAGAAAGAAAGAAGGGAAAAAAGAAAGAAAGAAAGAAGGAAGGAAAGAAAGAAAGAAAGAAAGAAGGTAAGTTTTCTCTTAAGTATTTATACTGAGGATAACTTAATGAAATTAAATTTTCAAAAAACGCCCGCTTTAACTCCACGCTGCATGTAATATATACAATACATGTATATGCAGGATTCCGACTTTAATAAAATCGGAGAACTCTACTAGCATGTGATGCCCAATAAAGCTGTGCCACTTTAGCGTTTAGACTTGAAATAATGCTTTGTTGTTATGGCATATATAGATCTTTGATTTTTTTTTTTTTTTCTGTTCTCGCAGCCTGCGTCAAACTGGTACAGAGACATCAATCATCTAATGCGAACACACTCCAGCGAAGCAAGTAAGTCATTTTTGCGAAGCAAATTCTCGGCGAACGTTTTTAACTAATTTATCTGGATATTAGGTGGCTATTTCTGCGTTAGTTTTGTTTCCGCTCTCTGTTACTGGTAAAAGAAAGGAATAAGACTATACAATATGAACTTATTTTGAAACGTAAGATTTTCATTTGAAAGGTTCTTGCACAATAGTTTGTAATTGTGGTTCCTTTTCATTCCTGGATTTGAGCGGAATTTAGGAGGAAAACAAGCCGGCTTAAAGAGCTAGAATGTATGAAATTGAGATATCATTTTTGTTCGTGTTTAGACGTGATCTTCACGGGACTTCCTCATCCACCACAAGAAGAAAACATGACTGAACAGTTTCTACAGGAATTATCCATTCTATCAGGTAACTATCACCATCCCTCCAGTTGCTGAAAAGATAAAAATAGAATAAAATAGTCGTTCTAGCGCTCTCGCATTAATTGGGGACACTTTTCACTCACACACACTACTACAAGATTCAATATTCTATGCAAATATCGCCCAACTCGCATTTTGAGTTTTACGGAGGGAAAAACTGGAGAAGTCGAAAAAAAACCCTTGTAGCATAGGAGAGAACAGAGTCAATTAAGTTGCCATATTTTCTCCTGACATTTTTTCATACTTTGAAGTTTTTAATTGACAGTTTTCATCATTCTATTTTGTCTTGTTTTCTAGAAAATCTTCCACCAATCATGATGGTATATGGTCGATCACCTGTGGTATCAACATCATTATAAACGAAAAGTGAATAACTCTTTAGGGTTGGAAACAAAGAACCTCTGTTAAACGACCACCAAAGTTCATGTTCTCTCGGCGACCACCATTTTAAGTGCTTCCCAATCATACGCGCGTGCAATCGTATAATTTTCTGTCTCGATAAAGTGAGTCAATCGAAGCTTTTCCATGACATCATTTAGTGCGACGTCACTTGTGTGAAAAAAGACTTCCGGATCCGAAAAAGCAGTTTATAAACATTTCTCTTACGTTTTCTTCATGACAGTGTTTGTTGTTCAAAGTTCTAATAGTTTCAGGGGAATGTGGAATCATTGAAAACATTTTTCAGTTTATTATTAGCGATTTTTACCAGTGAGTCAAAGCTAGGCTCTACAAGCACGTGACCTGGAAAACCCCTATATTTTCCAACAGTTTTATGGAAACACTTCTACTAACATCAACCAAAATTATCATTTGTCACGACACCAAATTGTACGATTTCGTGCGTGATTGGGAGCATTCTACTATTTCCCGACCGACGGTGGTTGCTCAATAGAAGTTTGGCTATATACTGAAAACCTCAAAGTGACGTTAACTCGGAAAACCTATTTACACTCTTTAAAGTATATTATAAATTTATATTCGTTTTTWTATTTTTTTATTTGATTTTTTATATTCTCGAATACATTTTTATGCTGTTCTATCATTTTTTCATTCATTCTTTCTTTATAGACTTAAAGTTAGATGCATGTAGTTTGGGTATCAATAAGGATCTTAAGATAACGTTATCTATTTTCTATGCATAACACATTTTGGTAAACTAATAATTTTGAGCTTTATAGCTCTTGAGTACTATTCCTTTCTTTATGCTTGAGAAGCTAGGGTGAAACTAGAAACTTTCTTAGACGTCTGAGAGCTCTTAGCTGTCATCCAATTCACACCTATGTATCTAAATTATTGCCCGAATTCATACACCTATCAGCACAATGTTGCTTATAAATTTATTGCTTTATATAAGATCGCTATTTATAATATTAATGTATTTCTATTTTTTATTGGTAATAGTTGAAGATATGGGTTTATGATGATAAGGGCTTATTATTAGTTTTATAATGTAATAGTCATTTAAAATTAAACTATATTTGATAATTATAACCATGATAATGGTAAATTAAATCATTGATAACTGAATAAAAATATTATAGTTTGTAATAAATGACTGAACAACAAGAGTATTACAATTTTTCCTTTCATTAATAAATCCATCAAAGTGCTAATTAAATTAACTCCAGAAGGAGGTGCTCACCCCACCCCAATCCCCTGTCCTCCACTTCGATTCTCTTTTTAAGTATTCCATGTGATAAAATGAGAGGCAAAAGGTAATTATAAAAAGAATCAAACGAAAGAAAGAGGGGAGAAAATAATGAATAAACGAAACTTGAAACCAGATTTGAAAAAAAAAAGAGAGAAAGAAAGAAGGGAAAAAAGAAAGAAATAAAGGAATGAAGAAAGAAAGAAAGAAGGAAGGAAAGACTAAAGAAGCGCAACTCGGCCCCAGGCCTTACATGGTACAAGCAAACCGCTGGCCAAGCCACTCGTAGATTCAGCAAACRAGATGGCGGACGTGTAGGACCGACTAGAAGTGAAAAACTCTAGAAATACTTTGAATATATAAAGATATAAAGGAAAAAAACGAAAGTAACTATACGTACGATACCAAGAGCAATATGGCAAAGACAAGTAAACGCAGCAGTGCCAAGGAGGCTCCCAAAACGCGCGCCAGTTCTAACAGCAGCATGAATCCAGGTAAACCACGTGAGCTACACGGATCTGGCGAAATAGCTTGAAAATCATATCTTAACGTTTATTTATTTATATCATATCATATTTAAAATAATAAATAACATAAACAAATGAATTTTGAGGTTTATATAATTGAATTATCTGGAGAACTTTTCGTTATTAACGCGTTGCATTTAGAAATTTGTGATCTATTTTTGGATACGTATAAGCTTACATGTATGCACAGTGTATTTCAATGAATTAGGCTTTATTTGTAACACTGGTTTGTGAATAAAGCCATATTTATTGAAGATACTCTCATATGATGTCAGTACTCCAATTTCGAGTTTGCCTTTGCTCAGTCTAAGTCTTGATTGTGTACATATGTATTTTTTTCTTTTATTAACATCCATTGTAGATTAAGAAATGTACGTACTACGGAACAGTATATGTTCTTTGAAATGCCACGGGTTTTTGTCGAATAGCTGAATATTTTATTGCATAACCAAGACTGAGGCTGAGCAAAAGAGAACTTCAAACTGGAGTATTATGAGAGAGATTTGTATAGAGTTTTATACAAATTTAATTTATCAATTCCATTGATTTAATTCTGCGTTGTTTGGCTTATTTCTTTCTAACCTACAGATCGTCCTAAGCCAAGCCCTAACTCCAACATGAGAGACAAAAGTACAATAATGAGAATTAAGATGTACAAGTCGGGGGGCAAGGCTATCAGGTATGCCAGCCTACAGTGATGTTTTATTTTATGCTGCCAGTGTAATATGCAGAGGTATTAGAGAAGGGCCAGGGGAGGGGAGGGGTGGGTCAGAGGGGAGGGTCATCAGTAAAAATTTAAGTTTTTTAGAGGGTCAGAATCCCCAGCCCTCCCCACCAATAAAAAAGGCATTTTCCAATAGAGCTACTTGCTAAAAAAATTCAATACTTACCCATCCCCCTATTCACCCCATAACCTATCTTTACACATGTCTTTAGAATTTCAACAATCTATCAGCGGCAGTAAGAAGGTACCTTCCCTTAGAACTACTTGCTAAGACCCATCCCCCTATCCACCCCATTACCTATCTCTAACATGTCTTTAGAATTTCAACAATCCATCAGCAGCAGTAAAAAGGTACCTTCCCTTAGAGCTACTTGCTAAGACTCCATCCCCCTATCCACCCCATTACCTATCTCTAACATGTCTTTAGAATTTCAACAATCCATCAGCGGCAGTAAAAAGGTACCTTCCCTTAGAGCTAAAGATCCCATCCCCCTATCCACCACATCACCTATCTTTACACATGTCATTAGAATTTCAACAATCCATCAGGGGCAGTAAAAAGATACCTTCCAATAGAGCTACTTGCCAAAATCCCATCCCCCTATATACCCTATCACCTATCTCTAACAGATCTTTAGAATTTCAACAATCCATCAGGGGCAGTGAGAAATTTGATTGCATATTCTGCATTGTAGCTAACCGCTGACCATTGTCGTTCAAGCTCTACAAAATGGCGTCCAAGTGGGACTCCTAAGTTCTGCTCTGGACGCCTAAGAATTAGAACATGGTTATCTAAAGGACCACTTAGCTCRAAAGTTAATTTCAGACCCTGTAGTTTGTCTTATATAACAATCAACTGAAACAAATTGCATCACTGTACACTCACCTTTTGAATGTTATGGCTAGTAAACCAATAGAATTATGAAAAGTAGACAGTATTTTAAAATTGCTTTGAGAAATGATATGCTATCTTGGCTAGTTCTATAACAGGCTTATTTTTGATGATCTATTTTCCAGGAATTCTGGTGGTAAAATAGTTAAACCAGCTCCTTTCCAAACAAAAGCCATTTCAGGAGAAGTAGCAAGGGTAGCACCAAACAGGAAATGGTTTGGTATGATATTCTACTTTAATACTTATTACAAGTTATATTATAATTATATTGTTGTTAAATATATAGCTATATGGTGCAGTTAAATCTCACTCAACACAAAAGTCATTTTAAATAAATTWAAAAAAAAATTTTTTTTGGAGAAATCCAGCTGCCATAGCCCCAATACCAGAATAATGTCTCCCCAGGTATTCATAGTGGGATGTCTTGGTATTTGCTCAGTCTGTTGGAAATGTGCTTGGTGGAAGCCACAAACCTAGACATCTTATAAGCTAGTAACTGCCTTGCGGTTGACTCAGTTGGTTGGGCACTGGCCCGGGGGGGGGGGGGTACTCCCCTATATTCGCTATACAGATACATGCCGCCAAACAGGGTATGGTTTTCAGCGATTCTACTCTGGAACAGGGTATATAAAATTGCACTCGCTCTGGGACAGGGTATATGAAATCACGTTCTCTCCTCTCTGGAACAGGGTATCTATTTTTCRCAATACTGGAAAAGGTTATGGTTTTCAGCGATTTTACTCTGGAACAGGGTCAGGGTTCAGAGGGGTCAGCCGCACATCCCTATCCTAAACAAGCAAGAGTGACCCCGGGGGCACTGAACTATAGCGTTAGTTGGTGTTAATTTGCCAACCATTATCACAATAATCTTGTCAAGTTGCTTCCTTTCATAAGCAAATCTATCTCTGGTTGGCATAGTAATGTGAATCACAAGGGCAGTGCTACATATTAAACATAATATTGCAAGACTCTTGAATCTTATAATATTTTGAGTTTTGATGAGGCAAGAAAATCTAAGTATCCAAAGAATATAAACATTCTGATACTACATGTAGTTATAAAAATATTATTCATTTTTCCAGGGAATACAAGGGTTATTACACAGAATGCACTGCAGAAATTCCAGGATGAAATGGGAAGAGTAATCCAGGATCCTTACAAGGTAACAGAACTTTTCTTGCCCTTAGAACGTCATCCTTTTATCTATTATATTATCTATTATATAATATTATATATATTATTTAATTACTTGTACTTTTCTTAAACTTTGCTACAGGTTGTAATGCGTAACACCAAGCTTCCTCTATCATTACTGGATGAAAGAGCGAAGGTTTGTTTAATGTTTTTACTACTTTATATGCAGGAGTGTTTTAGAAGGGGATGACTATTATGAAGGTTTTACCAAAAATTCAAGGAAAAGGGGGGGATGACTGTTACTAACGATATACTGAAAATTTTGAGCAAAAGGTGGTGACGAGTCACCTATTTTACCATCCCTGGATCTGTCCCTGACATGTACAGTTCATGTTTGGTAAAACCTTCTGTAAGCTGTGCTTTTTAAAATTTTATAACAGCCACTTTTAATGTTTTAATTTCGATAATTAATTTTTCAGACATCACGAGTCCATATTCTGGATACTGAGACTTTTGATTCTACATTTGGACCCAAAGCTCAGCGTAAAAGACCCAATGTAAAAGCATCTGATATACAGGTTTGTGGAATGGTCCTAGTGCTTTCGTAAGGTGGCATGCACTGCTTAATTATAGGCTTCTGTACCTCAGAATCCCAGCGGAACACCCTAATCAAATTCTGGCAGAGTACCCCCCCCCCCCCCCCCGGGCTCTCACCAATGCAACCTGGATTCAAGTTCTGCCTGTCTCGTTTGTCAGTTCTCTCCTGTGCTTCAAGGGTTTTCTCTGGTTTTTCTTTGGTTTTCCTCCCTGCTACCTTTCATAATTTTATAGATATTTTACAGTATATTTAACTATCTACAACTGTATTTTGTATTGTATTTCCTCAGAGTCTGGCACAAGCAGCTACCAGTCAATTAGGTAGGCAGAGTTGTAGCTTCTACAACTCAGATGTCTCCAGATACAACATTTTTCTCATTATTTATCTCCTATCCATCAAGTTTGAGTTTTATTTTGATATTATGTTGCTGTTTATTTGTCAGAAAAATATTCTCATGAAAATGATAAGGACCTTGTAAAAGAAGATGATGGAGAGAAGTATGTACATGTATAGTTCAATTTGTTGGTTTTTACCCTGATAGATTAATGTTATGCACTTATGCATTTATAATTTACCTTTTCATCATTAATGTTATGCACTGTTAGTGCCCAGACACACTAACTAGAACCACTTTGAACAAAACTTTTTGTTTTTAAGCCAAGTTAGAGAGAGCAAGTGTCAGAGCAAGGAATGATATTTTATTGCATTATATTGCAGGGCAAAAGCCAAGGAATCTATTTATGCAAAAGGACAATCAAAAAGAATATGGAATGAGCTTTATAAGGTACCTAAGGTTCCATCAATAATACATGTAAATATACAATCACGACCCCATGAAAATTTTTGAAAGTAAGGACTGTGTAATTCAATAACTGTATCGAATCAAAGGTTTGGTTACAGTTCTTTGGTTCCTTTTTGGCAAGATTTTTTTGTGGTGATGAAAGCTGAAGGCGCAAGAAACATAGTTTGTGAGAATCCAATTTTATTACCTTCACAAAAAGGAAATATTAACAGTTTTTATTCCACTTAGTTCTTTCCATTTTCCATTTATTCACAGGTTATTGATTCTTCAGATGTTGTTCTTCAGGTAAATGATGCAGTTGCTAATATACTACTAGAGTTAGTTTACTTGGTCTGTGAAAATGATTCTAATAAAAAATCTTTTTTATCCTTTTATAGGTACTGGACGCAAGAGATCCTATGGGAACAAGATCTAAACACATTGAAAAATTCATGAAGAAAGAAAAAACCCACAAACAATTGGTCTTCATTCTAAACAAATGTGATCTGGTGCCAACGTGGGTTACGGTAGGATAATGCTCGTAACTTCTCACTTACTGTACAATGAAATGCTAAAACACTCACATCATTTTTCCACGCACAGTCTCTAAATTTGATTTTTCAACAGATATTTAACTTAAAACCTAAAAGTGACTCGTGGGATAATCAGTATTCCTATGGTACATATGTTTGCCCATCAAAACCAAAGTACAGACTATAGTATAAGATATTTTCATAGACATTTTTGTTTCCCTGTAGCAACGTTGGGTAACGATACTATCAACAGAGTATCCAACTCTAGCATTCCATGCAAGTGTAACCAATCCCTTTGGTAAAGGTGCTCTCATTAATATCTTGAGACAGTTCTCAAAGGTGAGTAATAAGACACAAAGGTAATGGCCGCTCTCATTACAGGCCTTTTTTTTTCTTGTTTGGATATTAATTGGACGGTTTTTCTCTGAATTTTCTTTCATCAATCCACAAAATTCAAGTCAGGGCACAACTAACTCACAGATCAAACTCTGAAACAACCTCTGGGTTGATCGAAGTCAGGGCACAACTAACTCACAGATCAAACTCTGAAACAACCTCTGGGCTGATCTAAGTCAGGGCATGACTAACTCACAGATCAAACTCTGAAACAACCTCTGGGC